TTCGTACTGGGTCTGCATCTTCCGTGCTGTCCTCAGGCGCCATCACCCCAAGTCGGCTCCCCGGGCGCTCTGCCGTTGCCCTGGGAGACTGCTGTGGGCTTGTGTTACCCACTCCCTCCAGGGCGCACGGGTCCGGGGGCTCCGCTGGGATCCCCACACTCAGTCTAGCCGGGCCTGCCCTGGTGCCACCTGCCCAGACCCGGCTTTGGTGCCACCAGCAAGTGAGTGCCCAAGGGAGGAAACCAGGGGGGACACGCGGGGAACGTGGGACCAGCCGTGGTGGGCGGGGCGTGGGCGGTGGGCGGGGCTCTGTGCGGGGCCGAGCCTGGTGGGCGGGGCGTGCACAGTGGGCGAGGCTTAGTGTGGGGGCCGGAGCCGGGCTCAGAGTGGGTAAGCTTGCACTGGGAGGGGAAGTTCTGGAGCCGCTGGCTGTCCTCGACTTGGTCTGGAGAGAGTGACCGGGGTCCTTCCCGACGCGGCCATCAGGAAGGCCCTACTGACTCCCAGTTTAGGCGACCCACCCCCTTTGCCCCCAGGGGCACCCACCTGAGCCTGGTGTCCCAGCGCAGTGCCCACTGTGGGCCTCACTCAGAGTCCCTGGTCCTCACTATGAGGGGTGTATGATTTTTATCTGTCGTTACAAAGACTTTTTTGCAAAGCGATATCCTGGGGATTGCATTTAACACTCAGGGGCAACCGGGTCCCAAAGCACTCCCAGAAGTGGAAGATCGTGGGCAGGGGTCCACGGAGCACTCCATCCACCCCAGGCTGGGGCACCTGAGTCATAACGAGCTGCCCTTCATGTCTCCACCCACTGCTGCAGGCGTGTGGCGGTGCAGAGGGTGGGAAGCAGTGTGAGCAGGCAGGAAGGGAGCTGCCAGGTTGGGCGTCCTACCGCCTTCGTGCACTCAGGCCCCTCCTCTGGTTGCCCAGAGGCAGCCCCTCTTTCAGAAACACTGAGTTTTGGCGTGCAGGCCTTTGAGGTCTTGGACTAACCCCGTTTCTTTTCCACTATTCTCAATGCTGACCTCAGTCACTCGAGGTGCGGTGTCAAAGCGATGGAGCAGACTCAAATTAAATTTGACCTGGATGCCACCTTTCCGAGCGGAGTTAGTGATCCCGCCCTCCAGTGGGACACCACGTGGAAAGCTGCCAGGCAGTGTACCGCGGAAGCAACGCCAAATGGTTCCCTCGTGATCTGAGCAAATGGCTGGTTTAGTTTTGCTAGTCTGTGACCACCCCTAACTTCAGTGATCTCTCGTGATGGCAGTGTTTATAGTCTACGTAGTGGTTAAAGACGGTCTCTAGAGTCAGACACCTCCTGGTATTAAATTGAGTCTGGTTCTTAACCAGCTGTGGGACTGGAGCGGGCACGTGACTTTACTTGTCTTGAATTTCTGTTCTCTTACGGGTGAAGTGGAGGTGATGTCTAACTCCAGGCTGATACGGAGATTGCGTGAGGTTGTACATGGATGTAACAGTGCTTGAACACACACTTAAATACTACGTATGAATATGGTTACTGTTATTTTCGTAATGATCTGGTGATACTCACAAAGGAAAATAAGATTAGAATACATGCATGGGTCAGCATAAATCTGGCATCTCCACTAGAATGTAGAGTAAAAGCCATGTTCTTCCGACCAAAGAAGGTGTCATGGGTCAGTGTAAATGGGAGCATATTAAAGAAGCCTTTTAATAGCGAGCATTTGAGAATCACTGTTTGGATTTCCACAGTGCATTAGGTGGTGGAAAAGTGGAGAAACTGCTTTGATCTGAACGAGTTTGTGGACGGATAACCGTGAGTGAACTTGGTAACGTCACCAACTCCGCAGGCTGCAGGGCTGTCACCTCCGCTCCAGGGTTTCTGGGGACAGATGGGAAGCAGAGTCCTCCAGTGCCCACTGATATCATTTCAGGGTGTCTTCCAGAAAGCCTCGAGTTCAGTAAAGCTGCAGACTTTGCTCTGGAGAAGTGCAGGGCGCTGCTGTGTTACGTCCAGCGGTGTAGAGTGGTGTAGGCTGTGTCTGCCCGGGTGGACATAAGTCATAGCTGACGCTCAGTCAGATCCCAGCCCGTCTGCCGGCAAGGGAGCAGCAGCCTTTCACAAGGCAGTCTCAGACTTACACATGGATGGGTTTGTTCCAGTGGAAATCCTTATTGTTAACTCCACAGAAATTAACTCGTGTGCAGTCATGAAGTGTGCCCTTGCTCTTCTCCCTTCTCACGACTCTCTTTTGAAATAGTCGTATCGGGGTCCCCACTGGATAAGCTCCCCGGGAACAAGCTGATGAGCCTCTCTGGTTCCTTGTCGCCCTCGGGTTCTGATTCTTTGTGGGGAGAAACCTTATCACCCTGGCCTCCTACCCCCCCCCCGCCCTCACACATGACTGACACTTTTAGTCTGGGGCTTAAAGGAGGGTGGGGCATAAAGAGGATGGGCAGAAGCTGTGGGAATGAAGAAATCCAGCCAGAGCCCCTGAGTCAGAACTTCAGAGTGACCTAAGTCGGCTGTATAGAACTCTCCGTAATCTGGAAAACAGCTTCGTCTTTTATCTTGTTTATGACTCTTCAGACTGGGGTGTTTTTCCTTTATTTTTAGTGAAGGGACAAGGATTTTTGTGCGGCCCTGCCTCTGGCTTGCCTGAGAGTGCAGCCTTCTTCGTCCAAGGCTGTTGGCTGAACTTCTCCCTCGGGGTCTCGGGAGGGTGTGCGCTCCTGGAGGGGCAGTCGTGTCTGCTGTGCGCGGGTTTCTTGGGATCCGTTGTGAAAAGGGAGACAAGTTAAGGATCCGGACGGCACTCCCTGGGTGCGCGACAGGTGTCGGGCTGTCGCGTACGCTGTGCTTGTCCCCCGCTGGTCTTGGCGCACAAGGCGTCTGGGTGTGAAGGGCACGGGGCTCTGGGGTGCACTGCCGGCCAGTTCAGGGAGCTGGTGCCCACGCAGGCGGGCACGGGGCCTTAGACTCCGTGCGTTCCTCTTCAGGCTTCAGGATTTGGAATTTGCGTTTGTTTCCGTGCTGCTTTCCCTCTGAACGGCCCCTGTTATGTTTCTCTTGGGTGGATTACATGTGGACAGCATTAGCGCAATCACAGACAGGAAACTTGGGTGGCACGTCACCCTCTCTGCTGAGTCAGGGGTTCTGACCGAACAAGGAGGCTCAGTGAACAGAAAGAAGGCGGCCTCCTTGGTTTATGCAGAAACACTAGGAAGTTGGCAAGTGATCTCGTTTAGTGGAGTGAGAGAGAAGGAAGGTGATAAGGGAAGGCCAGGGACTCTGGGGAGGGAGGGCTGAGTGTGATGCTGAGAAGCCAGAAGAGGGATGATGTGTTCAGAGGGAGCGCCGGGCCGCTGGCTAGGGTCGAGGTAGGAAGCCTCATTCTGGCGCCGCGAGAGGGCAGCTTCCAGGCTGGAGGTGTTTATGGCCAGCTCAGCGTCCCACACCAGCAGCCTGGCCGGGTCCTCCGGAGCTGCTCAGAGTGCACAGAGTCTGTGGCCCAGGATGGAATGAGGGCCCGGCTCCTCCCTGTCACCTCCCCTGCTCCTCGCTTTGCGAACCCAGCTGATTGGAGATCCGAAGGTGACTGGCGGCTTGTTCCTATCAGGGACTCCCGTGCTGCCGTGACCCTCACGGGGATGCTGGGACCTGTGCCCGCTGCCGTGTGACTCTTCCAGCCGTCCCTGTGGCAGGATTTGTGCTTCTACGAAAAAAGGCTTTGCTTCTGGCGACCCTGTGTAAATTATCCTGTTTGAATCCCCTCCTGTTTTGTGGCTCTGCCTGATTCCAGTGGCGGGTGGGGGAGGGACAAGCCACCCTGGGGCTTTTCTTCTCTTCTCCCCCTGCCCCGCCCTCCCCACTCCACCCTTTTATTTCCTGAGTCAAAAACAGCTGGGAGTATGGCTGGCAGAAAAGTCTTGTTTTAACTTGTAAACTGAGCGAGTTAGATCAGAAAGGCACTGACGGGGAGGACGAGCAGAGGGCCCTCTCGGTTCAGAGCTGCTTTACGTCCGAGGCTTTGAGGAGTTACTCTTTTCCGTTTCGCTTTGGTGTGGTCTCGCCCAGCGGGCAGCGAACTTTGGCCTTCTGGGCCAGATCTCGCCTACGCCTGTTTTGTTTGGCCAGCAAAGCTAAGAATTAAGAATGGCTTTCATGTTCTTAAGGAACTGGAGGGGAAGGTTAAAAGAAGAAGAGTATTTCACGGCACGTGATCCCTTCGTCCGGACCTACAGTTATCTCAGACGTCGCTGCATTCGTTTGTCTCCACGTGGTCTGTCCTGCTCTCTGCTGCAGGGGCAGAGTCGAATGGCTGCGACAGGACACATGGCCCGCAAAGCCTAACCCGTCAACTGTCTGGTTCTTCACAGGAGAAATTTGCCAGCCCTGCGCTAGGCACGTAACCTGAACCTTGCCTACATTGCAGAGCATTTTCAAGGTGTCGTAATGCCTCACTGGTTTAAAGACGATGCAGAAAGGCAAACATGCTGTATCGGTTCCTTTGAGTCAGCAGGGGATTTGGGACAAGTGTGCTGCCCGACCCCTAAGGAAGTGCCTGGAAGAGTGAGGTGAGGAGTGGGGGAGGGGCAGGAAATATCTCATGAAATTTCAAATCAAATAGCACTTTCGCCCCTCTCCAGAAATCTGTAAAATGGGACGTCTCCGATGGCTTCAGAAAGAGAAGGAAACGCTGGCCCCAGAAAGCGCCCTGTTCTCAGAGCTTCATTCGGGCCTCTGATCAGAACAGGGAAACTCAGATTCAGGTCGTCCTTGGTCAGCTGACACCCTAATTCTGGGACTTGTTTGTTTTTGTCAAGATTTTGTTTTTTGCACAAGAATCAAAATTATTTCACCAGACGTTCAGCTTCCCAGACATTTTGCTTCGAGGTGTTGAATTACCTGTTTATCCTCGGGAAGTGAGGCAGGGACGGGTAGGGGGCTGCGCCTCCAGTGTGAGAGTGGTGGGGACGGCCGTGTTCAGTGCCCCGGACCACGCTCCCCGCGGCTGCCTGTTATCCTCCACCCCTTAGAGTTTTCCCTTGTCTTGAGATTCCTGGTTGGCTTTTACTCTGAAGGATTTACAGTTCCTCGTTTGGAAACATCTGAGAAAGAGGAAGATGCCTTTTATCTCTTTTTCTTTTTGTCCATTCCTACCCCTGTGAAAGTCGGCGAGGCGGGGCAGGGCTCGGGCAGGGCAGAGGGACGTCTCTGAAACAAGAGAACTCAAACAAACTGGCCGGCCGAGTCAGAG